TATTTGAACAGAGGAAAATGAATGATACCCTGACGCCCCCTCCCCTGCCAAAAAAACCCCAAAACAAAATTTAAAAAACCCATTCCAGGTAGCTCCCTCCTCACCGCCCCCCAGCCCCCGCCAAAACCCAAAATAAATAAAAGAGCACAAGAAAAAGGATACATCCCCTATAGGAGAAGGAGGGTTCAAATGACAGCAAATTCCACATCAGAAATCAGGGAGGCTTGAAAATACATGATTTATTTAAAGTGCTGAAAGGAAAGATTCAGAATCCTATGTCTAACAAAAATAATCTAGGAGAATTAAGATTGAAAAAAGAAATTCTTGGAACTGGGCATATGGCGCAAGTAGCAAGGTCCTGAGTTTGATCCAATACTGTGTATCCCCTAAACCCCTGGTACACTGGTGTGGCCCATTGGTCTATAAAGCAGCACCATTCACTAGAGCATTGTCAAGAGCAGCCTGGACTTCCTGTGCACTGTTGGGTCTGGTCCCCGCTTAAACAAAAGTTAAAGATGCTCTCTCTGGGTAAAGGAAACAGAATTTGTCAGCATACCTTCTCTGAAACAATTGTGTTTTGTTGTTGTTTGGCTGCTTTTAGTTTCTGGCCACACCTGCCAGTGTTCAAAGATCACTCCTGGTGATGCTCAGGAAACCGTATGTGGTGCTGGGGATGGAATTTGGGTTGGGGATGGAATTTGGGTTAACCATGTACAAGATAAGCACCAACTTGTCTTGCATCTCTCCATCTTCTCTAAAAGAAGTGTTAAGGGGACCAGGAAGTAGTTCAAAATGTTGGAGTGCATGTTTCATATGTGGGAGCTCCAGGTTTGATCCTTGGTGCTACCTGGTCCCCTGAGTGAGCACTGGCCAGTAAGACTTCCTCTCCACCCTCCAACGAAAACAAAAAAGGAATTATTAGGAATTATGTTTTTGGACAGCAGGGATATAATACCAGAGAGAATTTCAGCACAAAAGAAATGATGGCAGAAATCACGGTGGCTCTAATGTGCTAGCTTTCTCCTTGTGAATTCTTTCACATAACTTTTATGACTGGAGGCCAAAATGATAATATTATATCACATGAGACAACTACAGTGTAAGGGTGGAAGATTCAGGGGATTAGATGGTACTAAGGTTCTTATTGTCTCATGTGATGTGCTAAAATATCATTGCTAAGCAAACTGTGAAAATTAAGGAAATATATTTCATTCCCTAGGATGAACATGAAAACCTAAAGATTACCTAGAGAAACAGTTAAAAACTGCACAAAGAAAATAAAATGGAATATTACAATATGTTCAGACTTCTTTTTTTTTTATCTTTGTGTCACACCTGGTGAGACACAGGGGTTACTCCTGGCTTTGTATTCAGGAATTACTCCTGGAGGTGCTCGGAGGACCATGTGGGATACTGGGAGTCAAACCCGGGTCGGCCGCGTGCAAGGCAAGCGCCCTACTTGCTGTGTTACTGCTCCAATCCTTTTTTTGCTTGTTTTTTTGGGCCACACCTGGTAGTGCTCTGGGATTACTCCTGTCTCCTCTTTTAGGAATTATTTCTGGCAGTGCTCAGGAGACCAATGGGGTGCCAGGTATTGAAACGGGTTGGCTGTGTACAATGCTATCGCCCTATCTGCTGCACTATCTATCTGGCTCTAAAACATGTTCAGACAGTATGAAATAAAACAAGAAGTGTAAGTGAGAAAATGAGGAATCAAGCAGAAAGGAATAATAAAACAATAGGCCTTATTCTAAATATATCAGTAAATATATTGAATACAAATTATCCAGGCATACCAAGTTAATGACAGAGATTGTTAGAACTAATTAAATTATTAATTATTGGGGCTGGAGCGATAGCACAGCGGGTAGGGCGTTTGCTTTGCATGCAGCCAACATTGCCGACACAGGTTCGATTCCCAGCATCCCATATGGTCCCCTGAGCACCGCCAGGAGCAATTCCTGAGTGTATGAGCCAGGAGTAACCCCTGAGCATCGCCAGGTGTGACCCAAAAAGCAATCACATTGAAGGAATGACATAACAAATCTGTCTAAAAATCTAGACTTCAATATAGTAATAAATTCAGGTTAAAAGTGAAAGTAGGGAATCAAGGAAGAGAAATGACAAAATGTGAGAAACATTTCTCAAATCATATGTCCACTAAAGGACCTGCAAAGAACTATCAAGCCTCAACAACAAGAAGACAAGTAATTCAAATATCACGGTCACGGTCCTCCCGTTGTTCATCGATTTGCTGGAGCGGGCCCAGTAACGTCTCCATCATGAGACTTGTTGTTACTGTGTTTGGCATATCGAATATATCATGGGTAGCTTGCCAGGCTCTGCCGTGTGGGCGAAATACTCTCGGTAGCTTGCCGGGCTCTCCGAGAGGGACAAAGGAATCAAACTTGGGTTGGCCATGTTGGCCGCTTGTAAGGCAAATGCCCTACCACTCTGCATGGATATTTCTCTCAAGAAGGTATACCAGATGGCAATAAGAACAGAAAAAGATGTTCATCATCTGTAACTATTAGGGAAACGCAAATCAAAACAAAAATAAGGTATCACTTCCCACTCACTGGAACTGCTACCTGAACAAAGACAGGAAATAATAAGTGTTGGTAAGAAGTTGGGGAGTCTGGAACTCCCACACCCTGTTGAAAGGTTCAATTTTGGGCTACCCTGTGGCCTAGAATTCTTCTTCTAGGTGCTTTCTCAAAGGAACAGAGGACATATGTCCATACAAAAAACTGGCACCATTTGTGCTGTTGTCAAGCATCTCCTTTTGGTACAAATTTTAAGGAACAAAAGACTGCCCCAGATGCCGGAGATTAAAGCAAAAAAACAGAATGAGCTGGGGTCAGCCTTTTTAGCTTTTCAGACTAAAATTATGGACCTCAAAAGTTCAGCTGCACAAACAAGCTGGTTCTCTCAGTGACATTAGCAAGTCATTTATAGCAAGCACACCCTGGAGTCAGGAGATCAAATATTTGGTTTGGGATCCCCACTGACTGCTATTAAGAAGCGTCTGGGATTGGAGCAGAAACATTCAACTGCCCTATTATTTGCCAACTGACACAGTATGTTTGAGTAAATCAGGAAATAGGGTTAGCCAGTATGGTGCTGTGGCAGGGGCAAGCCTCAAACAATGTCTAGAAAGCTATTTCACTTGGGTGAAGGAGAGAAGAAGAAAGAGCTTAGTGGAAAGAGCATTCTTATGTGCTTTTATGTCCTGATCACTTTTTTAATTTTTTTATTTTCATTTTTTTATTTTCCTGCTCCATCCTGATTAAGAGTTGACTCCCTTGGGGGCAGTGAGTCAACTCTTAATCAGGATGGAGCAGGAAAATAAAAAGAGAGAAAGCTAGTGGAGTGTCGTGAGAGGGACGCCATCTGGATGGAGAGTTCTCTTGACCTGCTATTTGTTCATTCACTTGACAGTGTTTGTGGAGGCTCTACTTTGTGCCAAGCACTGTGGTAGGTCTCACTCAGATGTGGTGGCTCATGTGTCCCCATGCCTGACTTTTCTTGCAGTAGGAAAACCAGGGAAATGGAAATCTTGGGAGGATTCATGTTACAGGGAAACCTCACAGGATTTGTGCCAGGGGAATATGCCCCATGGGCCAGGGTGCGAGATTTGGTTTGCTTACAGGATGGGACTGGAGAGATAGTACAGCTGGTCGAGCACTTTGCCTTGCATGTGGCCAACCCAGATTTGATCCCTGGCATCCCATGTGGTCCCCTGAGTATTGCCAGGTGTAATTAGGTGTAATTCCTGAGTGCAGAGCAAGGAGTAACTCCTGGGCACCATTGGATGTGCCCAACAACCAAAACCATCACCACCAACAAAAACAAAACCCAAATCAAAATGGTGTACACCAGCCACCATTTCCCTAAGAGAGCCACGGAAGTGTGTGAGTGCATGTGTAAGTGTGGTGTGGTGTGTGTGTTGGGATATATGTATGTATGGTGTGTATGTGGTGTGTGAGTGTGTGTGATGGTGATGTGAGTGGTGTGTGTATATGTGGTGGGGCGTGTGGTGTATGTGTGGTATGTGTGGTGGTGTGTGATATGTATGTGTGGTTTATGTGGTGTTTGTATGTTGTGTGTGGCATGTGTACGTAATTGGTGGATATGTATGGTAGCATGTACAGGTGATATGTGTAGTGTGTTGGGGTGTGCGTGTGTGTGTGGTATGTGTGTACTAATGCATTCATCAGACTCCCCCCTGAGTTATAATCTACTCAAAGCTGAGCTTTCAGACTTTCATCAGAGCAGTTGACTGTGGCACCCTGAGGGGTCGGGAGACAGCTTGTGCTATTGCCCCAGGAGCTGGCTGATGCTGAGCTCTGTAGGAACGAAAACCACCAATAACCAAAGGACAACAGGTTCAATCTGCCTTGGTACAGTTGGTCATTCTTAGTTCATTTCTGGTTTTCATTCTTCTTCCCTTCTCCTCACTGTTCCTGTGATGTCAGGAGGTTGCATAACCTTGATGGCAGTGCTTGCTGGAGCTGCTCACTTTTAGCTTTGGAGCTCACGCACCTGGTGTGGCATGTGTGACTGGGTCCACTGTGCTGTGAGAGGGATGTTGTGTCTCGAACAGCAGTGTATGTGGGTGGGTCAGTACCAGCAGGCCAACTCATGACCTCAAGCTTCCACTGAGCCATCCCCAGGACTCTCATATTTTTTATTTTATTATTTTTTAAATGTATTATTATTATTATTATTATTATTTTGCTTTTTTAGGTCACACCCAGCGATGCTCAGGGGTTACTCCTGGCAGTGCTCGGAGGACCATATGGGGTGCTGGGAATGGAACCCAGGTCGGCCACGTACAAGGCAAATGCCCTACCCGCTGTGATATCGCTCCAGCCCGTCCTCATATTTTTTAAAGTACATTTAAAAACTATGATTTTCTATGCATGTATAAAGCTGCCGTATTCCTTCCTTCTTTCTTTCTTTCTTTCTTTCTTTCTTTCTTTCTTTCTTTCTTATAGGAAATTCCAGGCTCTCAAAATGGGACACAAAGTAGTTGTATTCGACATTTCTGGTGTCAGAACCTTGTGGGAAACTCGTGTCAAGAAGCACAAAGCTTGGCAGAAGAAGGAAGCAGAAAGGCTTGAGAAAAGTGCCTTGGAAAAGTATGTGCGTGTGCTGTAGCAATGGCTGCTTCTTTAGCACAGAGGGGCAGGAGGCCCAGGGCTGGGGAGCTGGGACGCCTTTCCTCTGGGCTGTGTGAGAACTTCAGAACGTTCTTGATGCTGTGTGGAATGAATCACAAGTTCTGTAGGTTCTGTAACGAGAGCATGAACATTGCTGAAGAACCAGGAAGTTCCCTGTACTTAAAAAAGCGAGAGTTATCTCTCCCTCCCATAATACCAAAGGGAATTATCATTAATTTAATGCAGAGGTAATCTTGGTAGCCGTTTTAGCCAGAAATTCCACCCCACTCACCTCTCCTGCGGGTCTTTGTTAAAGTTGCTAGTAATAATTCACATCTCTGATGGCCGAAGATTTCCTTTGCAGTCTCCCCAGGGCAGCGGGAACAAGAAAGGAGGGGACGAGAGGAATGTGGGGGGAGAGGGGGCTTGAGCCTGCAGTGAGGGCACTGTGGTAATGAGAATGTGACCATCGTGCATGCAGGGGCAGGGGTGGTGAATCTGAGGAGGGTAACGTGGCCTGTGCTGCTGTTGCAGGATAAAGGAGGAGTGGAACTTTGTGGCCGAGTGCAGGAAGAAAGGCATTGTCCCTGCGGTCTATGGCAAGGATGGCCTCACCGACACCAACGCCAGGCTTCTGGAAAAGATGGAGAGGAATGCGCTCATGCGGCCCGGCTCGCTTTCCAAGGAGAAAGGGAAAGGGCGCAGTTCGTTTGTGTTTGAACTGTCGGGGCAGCAATGGACGGTGAGTGGGTGTGCATCTGTGTGGGCCCCGGTGGGTGCTCAAGGCAGAGCTGCGCAGATATTGCTGCCCACAGAACTCACGGCTCCGACCCGGCCCTGGCCCAGTGAGCACTTTGCTCTTAGAGAACTTTGCTGTAGTGGAAGTTTATTATCAGCTGTAATCTGGTTTGTCTCCTCTCTTTCCGTAGGGGACTTTCAGTCTTAGAAAGAGTAGAAGGGGCTGGAGCGATAGTAGAGCAGGTAGGGCATTTGCCTTGCACATGGTTGACGGGGTTTGATTCCTAGAATCCCATATGGTCCTCTGAGCATGGCCAGGACGAATTCCTGAGTGCAAAGCCAGAAGTTTGCATCTCCGGGTTTGACCCAAAAGAAGCCAAAAAAAAAAAAAAAGAAAAAGAAAGAGTAGGGGTCTGGGAGGGACTGAGATCTCAGTTGGCTGCCCTTGGGATACTAGTGTTCTTAAGTGTTCTGTTGCCTTTCCCCTCTCCCTTCCCCTTCCCCTTCCTCTTGCCATCTCCTCCCCTTCCCTTCCCTCTCTTTCCCTTACGTCCCTTCCTCTCCCTTCCCTCTTTTCTCCTCTCCTCTTCTTCCCTCCTCTCCCCTTCCCTCTCATTTCCTTCCTTCTCCTTCCTTCCCCTTCCCAACCCTCTTCACTCTTATTCCCTTATTCCCCTCCCCTCCCCTCCCCTCCCCTCCCCTCCCCTCTCCCTCTCCCTCCCCTCCCCTCCCCTCCCCTCCCCTCCCCTCCCCTCCTCTCCTCTCCTCTCCTCTCCTCTCCTCTCCTCTCCTCTCCTCTCCTCTCCTCTCCTCTCCTCTCCTCTCCTCTCTCCTCTCTCTTCCCTCCCCTCCCCTTTCATTCCCCTTCTCTCCCTCCCCTCCCCTCCCCTCCCCTCCCCTCCCCTTCCCTCCCCTCCCCTCTCCTCTCCTCTCCTCTCCTCTCTCCTCTCTCTTCCCTCCCCTTCCCTTTCATTCCCTTTCTTCCTCTTCTCTCCCTCCCATTCCCTCCCCTCCCTTCCCCTCCCATTCCCTCCCTTCTCCTCCTTCTCATTCCTTCTCATTTCCTTCATTTCCCTTCTCTCCCTTCCCCTTCTCTTCCCTCTCATTCCCTCCCTTCCTCTCCCCTCCCCTTCCCTCCCTAATGAACTGACCTTTCCATTTCCCAGTACTTCTCACTGAGGTGTTGGTTGCCATGTGTGCAGGTATGTGTAGTCACAGAGGAACCTGGGCACACCCCTTAGAGAGTTTTCTTTCTGAGGTTTGCAGACCAGAACAGAGAGCCCCTCTTCCTTTCCTCAGGTGATCCCACATACTTTCTGTTTCCCCCACTCTCACTTGCCCATTGCTTGCAGAGGCACTTTGAGGCTTGTCCACACCTGATGTTTCCTGGGAGTGACCTGAGCCAATGAGCGTGGACTGCAGTTTATTTCAGTGGGACCTATAATCTCTCACTCTTGACCCCACTTTTGGGAAGAGTACTCTGGCCTGGGAGAGGACATATTGGGGTGATTCTGTCTCCTCACCAGCGTCCAGCTCATTCTGAGTGCTGAGTGCTGTTGGGAACTTAATTTTATTCATTTATTATTTTGAGTTTGGGGCCACACTGACCAGGTTCACCCTTGAACCTGGAGAGACAGTGCCCACATTCCTTCTTTCTCCTGTACCCCATCATTGGGTCCGTGGGAGTCTGTAGGGTGAGAAGGGGACGTGTCTGGTTTTCTCTTGGAGACTGTCATTGTCACTGTGCTGTAGGGTTCAATCTGTCTTGTCTAAAAGCAGCAGTGGGACCTCCCTGTTCACAGCCCCTCCTGAGAAGCAGAAGCTTCTTGATGGGTATTTAATGATGCCAGATAAGAGGGGCCTCGGAAGGGTCTGGGGAGGATCCATGGCCAATGGGGTCTTCATTGCTTAAGCCTTTTCCTCCCTTTCGGCCCGAGCTTGAGCCAAGTACATGAGGAGACAAGCCAGTCTCCAGAAGGGTGGATTTCAGCCACTTGTTCTGCACTCAGATTTGTGCTTCAGTCCTGCCTCTTAAAACAATTGAGAAGCCTTTCCTTTGCTACTGCTGATGCTTTGATTGTGGGGTGTAATGAGGGCTGCACATACTTGGTGTAGGGTGGGGGTGCTGGTGCTCGAATGCTCGGTCAAGGTGCTCGGGGACACACTGGGGCACAGTAGTCTGAGGGCACAGTGCTCCATGGAGGGACACTCCCAACCCAGGTATTTGCACATTTTCAGTTGTGGGGCTTGCTTTCGGAGGGCCCTACACTTTAGTTGGGGTGTCCCCATGAACCTGGCCAGGAGGCTTGCATGCTTTGTTGATCTTCTGGTTCTAAATAGCAGAGTTGCTGGCAGGAGGGATAGAACTCTTGGCCTCAAACTTCCAAAACAGGCGCTGTTTGCCATGGAATCATCTCCTGAGTCCCGAGAACCAGTTTTTCATCACCCTGTGAGGGGCTTGTGGCCTCAGCACAGCAGGGAGTCCCCCCACCTCACAGGATCTGGGGGCCTGGGTGGGGAGAAACCCATGGGGCCCCTGGGGCTGAGGTCATTCTTGTCCTTCCTGCTGTGAGAAGGAGCCCATGGGCCCTAGACACCAGTCCTTCTCCTCCTGGTCCCTCTCCCTTTTTGGTGGGGGTATTCAGGGGCTACTCCTGGCTCCTTGCTCAGGGATTGCTCCCAACAGGGCTGGGGGACCATGGGGTACAGGATCAAAACCAGGCCTCCTACACACACATCTGGTGTTCCAGCCCTGGGTTCTGCTCTTTCCAGGGAGATTGCCTCAATTTCCTCTCCAGCTCTCCCTGGACAACCCCCCACCGCCACCAACACCGTTAGTACCAAGTATTTCATTGTCTTGTGCTGGTCGTTTGTTCTATGAACAAATGAGTCCTGTGATTTGACCTTATTTTTCTATGCATCTAGCTCCCTCTCCATTTTACGCTTACGCTTTGGAAGTTTTTTTTTTTTTTCCCTTTCTTATCTATCTTTGGAGTGAAATCTTTTTTTTTTTTTTTGGAGGGTGAGGAAGGAGTTTTCTTTCTTGGGAGTTCCCCTTTCTTTGTCCTGCTAGGCTCTCTGGACAGCCGAGAGATACTGCGTGTCAGACGAGCCGTAAGCTCTGAGCATGCATCAGACAGTGGCTTAACTTGGGGGTGCAGCTACAGAGCCTCCATTTCACTGGTGTGCTCCCTCTACCCCGGGGAGTATGGATTTATGGATTGTCTGGAACTGGCGAGAGTCCAGGGAATTGGCTGCGCCCTTTTTATAGGCAGGACCAGGTCAGGGCCAGAGAGAACTCTGGGGTGAGAAGAGGGTGCTGGCTTGAGGAGGCTTGACCTGCATCCATTATCTTGTGTTTGCTCTCCACCCCCATCCTTGCTCTAGATATGCCTGGGAAATTCTCCATCCAGGAACCCTGTTTAATCCCTCGGTGGATATACTCAGCCCCTTGTTGGCAGGGGAAGATGCAAATGCTCTGAGACACGAATGTTTTCCTGATCTAGGGTCCTGCTGTGGGACCCTCAGAAGCCTATTCCCGAGAGGCGAGACCTGGCATGAGGAAAGTAGGCTTATCTGGAAAACAACCATTGATGGTGGTCTTGTCCATCCCACACTCCACCCATCCCCCACCAAAAAAAAAAAAAAAAAGAAAGAAAAAAGAAAAATCTAGCAGTCTTGCTCTCAGGCTGGGGCTGGTAGAGGAAATAGTTAAAAGAGTTCATCAGTCAGGGAGAGGCCTGGGCTCCTGGTCTCCAGCTGGCGTCAGGGGTGTGAATCACCCTGATGGTGGTGGCCTGTTTCCTGTAAAGCTTGGAGATAACATCGTGAGCTCCATGTGTCTTCTGGGCTCTCTGTGAAAGCTTAGGGAGTGCTCTGGTGGTCTGGAATTTGTCTTTCCCCTCTATCTGTGACCACCTACTTTAACGCTTAAGCACAACAACAACGGGAACATTCCTGAGTGCTGGAAACAGCAAAGGCCAAGGGGGTCTGAGAGAGGCTCTAGGTCGTTGTCATGTGGAGAGGATGAAACTCTAGTGCTATAAGGGGCAGAAGGGGGCTGTTTTGAGTTTCCCATCAGCTCCCTTTTTAGCTCTGCCCTCACTGGGTCTTCCCTTCCTGGGGCCTCTGGGGGTCCAGTGAGCTATTCTTGTGTCTGAGCTATTCCTGCCAGTGCTGGTCCAAGACTGAGCAGACTTGGAGGTACAGGGTTATCTTTTATTTTTATTTCATAATAAATCTCCCCCCATCCCCACTCACCTGTTAATAAATCATATTTAATGTGACCTCCACATTCGGTTATGTGACTCTCAAATGGAGTTTTGACCAGAATTAAAGTAGCCCAGGCTTTAACACACACACACACACCCACACACACACACACACACACACACCCATACCCCATCATCATCATCAACATCATCATCGTCATAGTCGTCATGATTATTATCATTATTATCATCATCATCACACATCTCCTAAATGAGTCATGTCAGGGTAGACTCAAGCTGTCTTTTTTTTTTTTTAATTTTTATTAGTGAAACACCATGAGGTGCAGTTGTAGAATTACAAATTTTTGTGCTTGGGTTTCAGTTATATAATGATCGAATACCCATCCTTCCACCAGGGCCCATTTTCCACCATCACTGATCCCAGTATCCCTCCCACCCCCTCATCCCCCTCCATCTCAACCTGCCTCTGTGGCAGGGCATTCCCTTTTGTTCTCTTTCTCCTTTTGGGTGCTTGACTCACGCTGTCTTAAGATGTTTCCCAAGTTGCTGAAATAGGCATGAGTATACTTTGCAGAGGTATATTGATCTTTCAGATGTGCCATCATTGAGGGAAATGAAAGCAGTTCTTTCCAGGGAAACCATATATTGACATTTCCATAAGGAACATAGGATCAGCTCCCCATGGACTCAGCTTTTTGTTTTGACTCAGAGCAGGAGGCAAATCATTTGGTCGGGGGTAACTGATCAGGAAGGGCTGATGTTTTGCCAGAAGCATTTGAGGTTTTGATTTTCATGCTACCATGAATTTTTGGCAACTTGAAATTGGGTTAATCGGTTATTGTAAAATTCCTAGCGACTTCAGATAATGTTTCTTGTTTTTTTTTTTTTAATTTGTTTTTGGGCCATATCTGGTGATACTCAGGGGTTTACTCCTGGCTCTGCACTCAGAAGTCACTCCTGGTGGGCTTGGGGGACCAGGTGGGATGCTGGCGATTGACCCTAGGTCTGCCATGGGCAAGGCAAGCACCCTATCTACCTATCACTCTGGCCCCTCTTATTTATTTATTTATATTTATTTTTATTTTTTCTTTTTGGGTCACACTTGGCAATGCACAGGGGTTACTCCTGGCTCTGCGCTCAGAAATTATTCCTGGCCATGCTCAGGGGAACTTATGGGATGCTGGGAATTGAACAAGGGTCAGCCGCGTTCAAAGCAAATGCCCTACCCGCTGTGCTACCGCTCCAGCCCCTATTTATTTATTTGTAACAGGGGCCATGCCAGGCAGTGCTGAAGGCCTGGTAACTGTCCTGGCCGGTTGTACTCAGGGTCTCCAGGGTCATACCTAGGGTGCTGGGGAATTTGGGGTGGGAAGCTGGGTGGCATATAGTACTTGGATTGAACTCCGGCCTTCGTACATGCTAGGCACGTGCCTCGCTGCTCGAGTTCTCTCCCAGGCTCCCCTGCTGCTTTCCCAAGTGCTCCAGCACAGACAGATGAGTCTGATGTCCTTTCAACAAAGGTGTGGTTTTGTGCGTGGAACACTCAACTTGGACCCAGGGAGGAGCTAGTCATGCCTGGTGTCATTCATTCTACCTTAGGAACTCCCGGAGTCACTGAAGGAGCAGACGCATCTGAAAGAGTGGTACATCAATAATACCCTGATCCAGACCATTCCCACCTACATCAAGCTGTTTGAAGCGATGAGAATCCTGGATCTGCCCCATAACCAACTGTCATATCTCCCAGCTGAAATCGGTATGTCCCCTAGCAGGCATCCTCTGGTCTCTTGTCTGATGAGCAGGCAGTGGTGGGCTGGGGATCCTGTTGGAATTTTTTTCTCCCTCCAGCCCAGCTGTCTCCGGGCAGGCAGTTTTTATGTTTCTGGAACTGCTTGCTCACAATGGCCCCTTTGGGGTGTTGAAACACAGTCTCACTAAAGGCAGCAGCAGCTCCAGACAGAGAGCACATACAGACATTAGCCCATTGCAGAAGGAGCTCAACATCTTGTGCATGAGCAAGGCTCTCATTAATTTTCATGAATTTCCTTCTAATCTGGATTGACAAACCTGCAATAATGTTTATTATAAACATACAATGTAATATAATCTTCTTGGCTACTCGTCCCTTGGTGATTTTAGCTTATGTCATTTGAACACATGTTGGAATTTTCCATCATTTTGTAGCTCACTTCCAGTTCCTGAAGATGACGTGTTCCAGGCTGCCTCTCTGCCTCTGGGGCCATGGGCAGCAAAGGTCAGGGGCTGCGCTGACCCATGCTTACACCCAGTACCCTGGAACTGTGCCATGCTGCAGTCACACAAACATTCCAGGAGTGTCAGCCTGTGAATGATGTTGACTTTTTGGAGTCATTCACATCTTACTGGGGGCACCAGGACTGGAAACCTCACCTTCCTCCCCCTAGGCTGAGCTCTGGGTTGTAGGTGCAGCTGCTGACCTTGGTGTGAAGGGTGATGTGTGCTTTATTTCAAGAGCAGACTTGCTTACTGCTTACTAGGAGAGAGGAGACCTCAGGTGAGGAGTCTCCACTGCAGCGCCCCTGGGGTAAGCTTCATCTGGGCTGTCTCTCTTTGCCTCCTGGAACTTGGGTGCAAGTTGTTAATGACAGTATGTTAGTTGTCTCTGAGCAGGCTTTTGATGTCTTCTGTCAGTCTCAATGAAAGAGCAAGAGGCAACCTAACTAGTTGGTATGTAGAGTAGAACCGAACTTTTGACAGGATAATAAGTACTTGTTCCCTTGTCGGATTTCTGGGAGGGTACAAATGACCTTAGAATTTGTGTCACTATAAAGTGCCATCTTGGCCAGGTGAGGAATCATGGCCTGCCAGTCCCCTTGTTGAACAGAATGTACAGCACAAGGCCCAAGGCTGTTAGTTGACTTCGTTGTCATGACTGGTTTAGATCAACGATCTAGACGTCAGGATTTGCTCGTCTGGTGGAGGCTCATACTAAATTTGAGAAACCAAATAGGGTTTCTGAGGACTAAGTTCCTTTATGAAATCTGTTTTGAGTAGCAAGTTTCTGTTCTTGCACTTCTAAGAAGTCACCGTGGTTGACTTAGAATCAGGAATGATTCATCTTGTCAGCCTGAACTGGGAACCGTGTGGTTGGCACCCAGAAGAGGAGGCAATGAGCATGGAGGTGTTGATGGGGAGGTCAGGACATCAGCAGGAGACAAATTTACGCTCATGGTGATCTGAAGTTCACCACTTGTGCTGTGTTTAGTATAAGACTTAATTCATTTCTTAAAAAGTTTTCCTTGAAATTATTGATAGCCACATTCATGTTTGTTTCTATCTGCTATTGTTTTGTTTTTTGGGTCTTAACTGGTGGTGCTCAGGGCTTACTTCTGGCTCTTGACTCAGGGATGGTTCTTGGCAGTGCTTGCAGGACCATGTGAGGTACCAGAGTTCCAACATGGGTTAGTTGAATACAAGGCAAATCTCTCAACCCCTGTACTAGCTCTCTCGTTCCTCACTCCTTTCTAGATGCCAGTTTTATTTGGGTGATGGTTCTTAGCCTTGACTACAGATTAGAAATCCCTGAAGAACTTACAAATTAAAAAATCTTGAGTGTGGAGAGATAGTACAGGGCTTAGGGCACTTTCCTTGCATGTGACAAGCCTTATGTGATCATTTTCACTGCATTTGGTCTCCTGAACACTGCAAGGAGATACCTCTGAGCACAGATCTAGGAGTAGCTACTAAGCACCTCTAGGTGAGGACTCCAAATTCAAAGTGAAATAAAAGAAAAATGTACACTATATCAAATGTTAAAAGAACCTGTAAATTCTTTTAAAACACCCTGTAATTTCCTTAACCATCATGAATTCATTCCATTTCTGGACCTAGGCTCCTGGTAACCAGCATCTAAAGAAGCTTCTTGATTGGTATGTGGATTGAGAACCACTAGGGAGGGAATGAGTGCGCTATCCTTGGGCAAGAGAAGAAAAAATGAGTTATGAATAATGGGCTTCTGTGGATATAGCATTAGGGAACTCAGTCTTTCTGCTGTCCCTTTGTAAAGTGGGGATAATAAGATCCTTCATCCAGTTGTTGTGAGGATTAGATGAGGTGTTAAGCACCGTAGTGATTAGACTCGGTTCTGATAGTTCTGATTCTTCCAAGGCACTCAAGCCAATTTGGAGACTTATCAACCATACACACACACCTCATTTATGAATAGAGAAATATGAAGTATCCCAAAAAAGGAATAAAATGTGAAGTAAGTCTTCTCAATTATCACTGTTAACAGTTTCCTGGGTATAAAATTTTGATTGCGTACTATCAATATTTTGATTGTGTACATTCTTCTTTGGATGGATGCTGCAGCTATTTAGATATATCTGTGAACAAGCGTGTGAGATATACACGAATGGGCTTGCTTTGGAATCGGCTAGTTCCCATGTAAGGCATCTTACCTCCCAATGTCCCCCTAGAACAAATCATTTCAAATGTGCTGTGAAAGATCAATATATGGAATGTTTGATTTATTTTTTTCCTCTGATGGAGGAGTCAGCATATTCTCCATATGAGCTAGAACTCAATGAAAATAAGTTTAGCTACAGGGTCTGGAAGTTAAGCAAGACCGAGGGAGAATCGGGAAAAAGCATTCTGAGCAGCTGAGTTTTGTAGAGGAGGTGGGGTGGATCACCTTTGTGTTGTAGGGTCTGCGGAGATCTGGCTGGGGGCTTTGGGGGGACATTAGAGACCAACAGGCACTAGACAGCATATTCATTTTCTCAGGAGCAGGATGATTACTTTGTGATGTCTGACATTGAGGATTCAAGCCTGGCCTTGAGTTGTCTTTTCTTTGTGGAACTCATAAAAAATAATTGTTACACGGTTTTAAATAGCTAATGAGCAAGATTATTTTTAAAGTTTTACTTAAGTATTTTAAAGGGTGTCAATTCCTAAAGCAGTTCCTTGGGCTCTACAAATAAGAAGCCTCTGGATGACTATCCCTGATGGATTAGGTTCCTGTCTAGAAACTCAGCCTGAGGGCTCTGGGACAAGGAACCGTAGGAACGGAGGTTTCACTGTTGTTGGACAGGATCCCGGGACATTCCAGGAAGGAACAGTTACTTAAAAATACAACATGCTAGTGCTAAGGTGTCTGTCTTAGTCCAGCTGAGCTATTAAAAAAATACCACAGACTGGGTAGCATATAATTTATTGTGCCATAATTTAGTTCTCACAGTCTACAGGATGGATGTTGGAGGCAAGCTTGCCAGTACGGTCAAGCAAATGACCTTCCTTTGGGCTGCAGATTTCTCATAACCCCCCACGACAAGGACATGGGGGCTTGGTGGGGTCTTCTTTATAAGGGCCCTCACCTCATTCTCAAGGGCTCCATTCTCTGCCTATTCATGTCACCCTTGCGGGTAAGGATGTCAAATGTGAATATGGGAGGCCATATTCAGGCCATCGCAGTGTCTTATGTATTTTATTTCAATTCACTTCTGTTAAGTTGCTGATATTGCACAGCAATAATTTCTTCCAAAGAAGGAAAGTTGAAGTTTAGCACGGATGTTGTGAATGTCCTATGTTGTGTTTAGTTTTCACACTCAGTCAAGAAATGATTAATTCCAGAGTTATATGATCAGAATGATAGAGATACTTGCACCAGTACACGTGAGATGCATTTATACCAATTATTTGATTTGTGGGGGTGATAGGTTATACCTGTTACTCAGGGTTGACTACTTCTTCTGTGCTTAGGGGTCATTCCTGGCAGTGTTTGGGGGAACTATATGTAGTGCTAGTGATTGAACAAATGTCCACTTCATATAAGACAAGCATATTAACCCCTGTACTACCTCTTTAACTCTGCATTTACACCAGTTATAGGTGCATTTGACCCTCATAACAGGAAGCAAAAAGACGACAAGAAACTGTTTTTTGCTAGCTCTAGCTAACTGGAGGAAAAAGTAATTTTTCTAGCTTAGAGAAAAAGTTATAGCTTTAGAAAGTTATATCACATATAGTTTTTAGTAATTTATAGACACAAAGCATTGTATGCATTTTTTATCCAAATGCATGCTATCCCTGCCTTATCCCTAAGGCCTGATTTCAATACACCAATATCACTTTGACTTTATTAATATCCTGGTAAGAATTATTCCAGGTAAGTTAGTGGGGCCACAGCATTACCATCATCACCCAAAAATAAACAGTGAGATCAGTCAAACTAATTTAGAAAGGGCCCCTATCTAATATACTGTTTTGTGTATTTCCCTTTCTCATTCATCAATGATAAGAAGTTTGTATTTTGGGTGCCTACTCTATAAAAATAATCAATACTTTTTATTTTCTCATTTTATTTTATCTTTGGTTATAAGTCACACCTGGCTGTGCTCAGGGATTACTCCTGGCTCTGTGCTCAGATCACTCTTGGTGATACTGGGTATCAAACCAGGATTGGCTGCCTCCAAGGCAAGTGCCTTTAGCCCTGTACTATCTTACTGGTTTTCCAGCTTCAAAAATTGGGTCATGCAAAATTAGGGGCTGGAGAGATAGTATAATGGGTATGGTTCTTGCCTTGCATGTGACCAACCTATGTTTGATCCCAGCACTCCATAAGGTGTCTTGAGTCCTGCCAGGAGTGATCTCAGAGTCTGAGCTAGGAGTAAGCCTTGAGTACTACCAGCTGTGGTCCCAAAACAAAAACAAAACAACAGCAAAACCAAACCAAACCAAACCAAAATAGTATGTTAAAATATTGGGGAGCAGAAATAGAGTACAGCGGTTAAAGGTGCATGCTTGCCTTGCATGCAGATCACTCCATTTTGATCCCTGGAACCACATATGTTCTCTGGAGCATGATCCCTGAACACAGAGTTAGGAATAGTCCCCAAATGTTGCCAGATGTGTACCCTTCTCACACAAAAAGAGTGCTGAAGTATTTATTACCTTAGAACATTTATGACACAGTTTTTGTAGTATCAGATATATTTGTTTTTATGCTAGTTCCTTCTGGTTTGAAACTGATCATATTTTTATTAAGTCAGGTCACAATTGGGATATAGTTTTTCCTTAATTAATCCCATTTCTACATGTCATTCTTTGTGGGTTCACTTCCTGCCCATAAAAGAGACTTTGTGAATATTTTTAGGAAGCATATTATGTCATGATTAAGTCAATGTAAATATGAAGCCATTATTTATATATTGACTTGAATGCATGACTTTCCATGCATACAGAATTTTGTGGATGTTTTAACATCTAGCTCCTGTCCCTTTTTTTTTTTTTTTTTCTTTTTTGGGTCAGACCCGGCAATGCACAGGGGTTACTCCTGGCTCATGCACTCAGGAATTACTCCTGGCGGTGCTCGGGGGACCATATGGGATGCTGGGAGTTGAAGCCGGGTCGGCCGCGTACAAGGCAAACGCCCTACCCACTGAACTATAACTCCAGCCTCGCTCCTGTCTCATTAAGAGCCACCAAAAGCCATACCTCCTCCTCGTGCTTCTGAGGAGCTGTGCCATACTTTAAAGTTGTTTGTTGCCCATTATTTTGTTCATTACTTGGATGAATGAAATTATTCACATGAGTTGCAATCCCTTTCATTGCAAAGGGGCTTAGACTCTGTGGGACTGGGACCTGATGCCTCCTACATGGAGCAAAATCCTCCATACTCTCTTCACCTATAATTCCACTACACTTTCAAAAGCTCAAAAGTAAGCCAACATATAAAAATTCTGATCAAGTATAAAATGTTCAGAAAAAGATCAACTGATAATAAATAGTGCTTAAGAAAAACAAATACAACTCTTTACCAAATGCCTTCCAGACTTTATTGTTTCTTCAAATGTTTCACATCATTGTCTTTGTTGTTCTTAAAAGCTCTTACAGTGGGGGCCAGAGAGATAATACAGCATGTAGGGGGCTTGGTTTGCACATGCTTAACCAGAGTTTGACCCCCAGCATCCCATGTGGTCCCCTGAATACTGCAAGGAGTGACTCCTGAATATTACCAGGTGTGGCCCCAAAACCAAATAAACAAATATCTTGTAGCAGGCTAGAATGATAGTAGAGGGATTCAGGCTTGGTTTGAACTCAAACCATCAGCCTTGGTTTGAATTCCCCAGCAACACACATGGTCCCCTGAGAGCCCTGTCAATGGACATTTCTGAGGACAGAGCCAGGAATAGTCCCTGAGTATCACCATACCACCAGTTGTGACTCCTAACCTCAAAATAAGTAAATATATATATCTTAAAAGTTCTGAAAAAAATAAACAAAGTTCTGAAAGGATCTACTCTGTGGATGTTTGTGTCTTTCTCATGACAGGTTGTTTGAAGAATCTAAGAGAACTCAATGTGAGTTTCAACCATCTGAAGAACATTCCACCAGAACTGGGAGACTGTGAAAATCTAGAGAAACTGGATTGTTCTGGAAATATAGAATTAACTGAGCTTCCCTTTGAAGTAAGAAAATAAACATCTTTGTATAAGCCTCCTGGTGCTGGGAGTGAGATAGGAGAATGGCAGGGAGAACTAGGGTGTTAGGCAATAAACCCAGGGCCTCACAGATGCTAGATGCACACTCTATTATCATTTGTGCCACATTCTTGGCTCTTAATGTCAGAGCCAAGATATAGTGTATAGTTGTTGGGAAATTACTTTTATAACCCAATAATTTCTTTCATTGTTAGGTTAATGCCACTGTGATTTTACATATTCTAAGCTTCAGAAGTTTTGAGCTAATTCCTTAAAATATCATTCATAAATTATCTTACAGTCTAAATATGCATAAATAAAAAAGAGAGATCAATAGTAATTCAGTCTTGATTTTTATGCTGATCTTCCATAATGCTGGAAACAACTGGAGCGAATTATAGGTACCCAAATCATCTTTCTTTAGTTTATTAAAAAAAACCCATTTTTTTTATTGAATCACAGTGAAATACACAGTTACAAAATTGTTCATGATTGGGTTTCAGTCATATAATGTTCCATCACCCATCCCTTCACCAGAGTATATTTTCCACCACTAATGGTCCCAGTTTCCCTCCTGAAATCTCTGCCCCACCCACCCTTGCTCCAGACCTGACTCTATGGCAGGCACAAAGCATCTTTCTCGACTGCTTATTTACCAGCTCTTATCTTCCTATTCATTTTTTTTCTAAATTCAAAATAATCGCAAAGTTAGAATGTACCCATTCATTAAGATGACTGAGTCTTACTAAAGCAACCTGGCAATGTGGAACTGGGTATAAAGACAAATCATACTGAAACTATACAAATTTCTTCTCTACTTCCAGTAATACCTCCCTCTGTCCAATTGATGCTGTACTGGATCACAATTAAAAAATGCATTTTGAGGATCAGTTCAAATTTTATTTATGGATTCTCAAAATAAGTCAATGAAAGGTAGCTTCTGCTATATTTTGTATCCCAATTCATTCATAAGACACTTTTCCTACTCTAGCATTTGTAGGTTGATTGTGAAATCCCCTACATATTGTTAACATGTTAAAATCAACCAATGATAGGTATAAAACATAAGTAGTAGAGATTTCTAATAATTTTCCATGTTTACTTATCAATTCAAATGTGAGTCTCTTAGGAGTTTTGTTTGTTTGTTTGTTTTTTTGTTTGCTTTTTTTTGCCTCACCCGGTTGTGCTCTGGGCTTCTTCCTGGCTCTGTGCTCAGGGATCACTGGTGGTGGGACTTGGAGGGACCATAGGGGATGCTGGGGAAGAGCCTTTAAGACTCAGGAAGTCCATTTCCCCCCAAGTTATTCTGCTCTTTGAGTCCTGTGCATTATTTTATTTTATTTTATTTTATTTTATTTTATTTTATCTCTCCCTTCCTCCCCTCCCTCTCTCTTCCAGGCCTGTGTATTTTGCCTTCTCTGATTTTACACATATTCTTGTCTGGAGTTTCCTTTCATCTCTCTTCCCTCATCAAAGACTCTCAGGGGCCAATTCTAATACTTGGTTCTCTGAGATTCCTTTTCTGATCCTTGACCTTCACCTTACTGTTATGCTGAACAGATTAGCCATTTATTTTTCTGCACTCCTGAGAAGTTCTAAGTTGGGAACTTCTTTACATTATTACTTACAAGGTCAGATTTTATTGCTAATGTATGAAAGTTTACAATCTCATGGACAGCCACACAAACTATCTTAGCACCTTCAGTAGGTTGCGGAATGAATGGCACAATCAGTCCTTCAAAATATATTCCCGATAGATCAGTTTGACATAGAGTCATAGAAATGCCTTTGAAAAGAAATATCAACATAAAAATGATTAGTGTTCTTTAATTCTTATTCTTCTGAAAAGCATGAGAACATTTTATTATTTCTTTCTAGTTAAGTAATTTGAAGCAAGTTACGTTCATAGATATTTCAGCGAACAAGTTTCCCAGTGTCCCGGTCTGTGTCCTGCGGATGACTAATTTGCAGTGGTTGGATATCAGCAACAATAGCCTGAATGACCTGCCGCAAGATATAGACAGGTAGCTACTTGCATTCTGAAGGTGAGGTATAAGAATTAGTTACTAATGCTTCAACACTGCTAATGTTTTAAAGATGCAGAAGTCTTCAATTGTTCATAGAAGTCAGTGAATTTCTCAGTGTGGTCCTCTAGGAAATTAGTCTGGTTCTTTATAAAACAGCTTGTATTGTTCATGTACATGTATATACAGGGATATTTGAGCACATCTTCATCGTCTTGGTGCAGTTGAATTGCTTCAATAGAAATAAATTCTGTGGTCCTCACTAGAATGTCACCATTAACTCTCCTTTCCTTTATTAAATTAGAAAGCTAAATGTACTATGATGGAATAGAAATAGCTCACCAAGGTTCAGAATACCAATAAGGATCACTTTTATTGATTGATTATACTTAATCTTTTGAAAAAAATTTGATATTTACCTAGAACGTTTTAAAAATTCTTTTCCTAGAGTTATCTCCTGCTAAAAATTATCATTACACTGAATTATGTAAGATTTTGTAAGATTATGTAAGATTTTGTAAGATTCTGCATGGCAGGCCTAGAGATGGCAGGATTAAAGGTGGTGAATAATGGCTGAATAAACAGCAGTACTCCTTCATAAAAAAAAAAACATTGTTTTCTTTAAAAAAAAAGGTTGTGAATAAAACAAAATTCCTGATTTCCAGGAACCTATAATCTTCTTTATTAAGGACTATAAGTAAGCTGGCAAAACATGATCCAAAAAAGTCTTAGTACTAAATGTCATCTTTGTGACCTACTCCTGGTTTATGTGGGTCTTCCCACTAATTTACAAAATTGTTTTAATTTGAAACTCCAGGAAACTTTGTGAAATATCTGTGGAATGCTTCAAGATCTTGCAAATTAATGGAAGAAGAAACAGAGGGGTCTACCACTGAGTAATGATAGAAAACAGAATTAAATGTATCTGACACAGATCTTGCTCACTTCCTTGGTAGTCTGTAGTACTCTTCCTATTTTAAGGTTAAATAATACCAGGGAAGAACTTTCAGGATATAGGAAAGAAAAAGCATGTTGTCAAGGTTTGCTTATTTCAGTCCAGCTCCAGTATGATTTTCCCCAGACCGTTTCTCAAGAGTTACTTGGGAATGTGGGAAAGGAGTATGTTGGTTTTCCTAGGCCCTATTATTGCCTACTCTATGTTGTATAATTTTATTATCCTTCTGTTATAGCTGTGTCTTCAACTGGAAATTAAATCAGTAGAACTTCAAAAAAAATCAAATTGTGACATCTTGCACGACTTTATTTAAATTTTAAAGTCAGACCCCCCCCCTTTTTGGGTAAGGGTCAGTATAAAAATTAATCCAAGCAGGAATTTCATACTCCAGTTTATTTGTAATTTATGTTGGTATTCATAACTGTGAAGCAAAGTTCTTGGGTTCTAATCCCTTTTACTTCTTAGGCTACAAGAGCTGCAGACCTTTCTCTTGTATAAGAACAAGCTGACCTACCTTCCTGCGGCCTTGCTTAATTTGAAGAAGCTCACCTTGCTGGTTGTCAGTGGGGACCATTTGGTGGAGCTCCCCACGACCCTCTGTGACTCATCCACACCTTTAAAGTGAGTAGACTAGAGACCCTACTAGTCATACACCAGACACAAGGTAAGGAGCCAGCTTTGGGTTCCTGGACCAGGATTCTAATGAATCTTATACTCTGAAGTCCAGATCCTAGTTCACAGATATTCTGATGCCTTATTATGGAAATTGAAATTTTTGGATCAAAGGCATGGGGAAATAGAGCTCAGAGGATATTTGGGCCTAAGCTGATTGAAGGTGCAGTGGGTATGTGCTCAGGACTCCCTAATCTGTCCTGAACGTCCACATGACTACTGGCCTGGAAGGGTCAGCAGCTGCTAGAGTAATCCTGGTTGCCTCAGTATTTGGGGGGCCTCCTGAAGGAAATTGTTAGCCACCCCCAAATCAGAAAAAAAATCACTAATATGATGCAAGCATTGAAAGTAGACTATGAACCAAACATGATGGCCACCTACTACCTGTATTGCAAACCATAACACCCAAAAGGAGAAAGAGAGTAAACTGGAATGCACCTGCCACAGAGGTGGGAGGGGGGACGGGATGGGGGTGGCTGGATGGGATGAGGGTGGCAAGAGGGATACTGGAACATTGGTGGTGGAGAATGGGCACTGGTGGAGGGATGAGTACTCTATCATTGTGTGACTGAAATGTAATCGCAAAAGTTTGTAAGTCTGTAACTGTATCTCAAGGTGATTTATTAAAAAATAAATTTTAAAAATGTGATAGAAGCATCTTGAGAACTGGGGTGAGCTATTTGAATGTGGCCATGAAGAGCACCAGTGCCAACCTGCCCTGAAGCCAGCTACCACATATTTCCTTGATTCCCTAATGATGTAACCCCCAGATTTCTGGGCTCTGAGGTCTCCTGTTACTCCCTCCCCTGAGACTGTTTGAGCACATTCTAGCAACGTGATGCTTTCCTGGAACCTTATCCCAGGTGGCTCCACAGAGAACCACCGCTTTTTCCACAGAGGCAGTTCGTGGGCATGACAGCCAGGACCAGAAGGGGCGAGAGATGGGAAGGAAGGACCCATCCCGATCCCGAGAAGCCTGGAGTTTTCAGTCACTGGTCCCGTGTAACTGGGTTTTTTCATTGGGTCTGGAGGTTTGGCTTCCAGGATTCATAGGGGGCAGGTCGAGGGATGATACCTACTCCCATCTCAGGTACCCCAGTGAAATAGGCCTGGCACAAGGTCCAGAACATCTTTGGGGGAGCTGATCAGTTCCGAGATTCATTTGTGAGTCTCTGGATCATCAAGGTGAATAAAAATAAATTCTGTGGGATTTGTAAAGAAGTTAAAGGATTTATCTATGTAAGTCTATGTAAGAATTAATTTTTCTTTGAGATTTCCCCATAGTTAGACATGAAATGAAAAAGGACTAGAGAAATATATGAATCAAAATATGATAGATATTACAAGTATAAGTACCAAAATATGACAGAAATATATTTACCAAAATATATATACAATCAGAATGATATGAACACCCAAGACAATGTGGCATACAATTGCAACCAAAGACTATGGAAGGGATTTCTATTTCCTTTTCTTTTTTTGGGTCACACCCAAATGCTTAGTGGTTATGCCTGGCTCTGCACTCAAGAATTACTTCTGGCAGTGCTGGGGGATTACATGAAATGCTGAGGATTGAACTCCATATGGCCACAATGCAAGGCAAATGCCCTACCTGCTGTACTATCTCTCCAGCCCGTAGGAACTTCTATGTTGAGTTGAAATAATTATATCATTTTTCACATCAAACATCTTTTTAGGACCAAAGAGACAGTATAGCAGGTGTAATCACTTGCTTCGTTTAACATTGATCCAGGTTTTATCCCTTATACCTCATACGATCCCCAAGTACCACCAGGAGTGATCTCTGCGCACAGAACCAGGAATAATCCCAAGTACAGCAGTGGGTGACCCCAAAACCAAGCGAAAAGTAAAGAAAAAAAACACAGGTGAAAATGTGATGTTTTCCATACATTCTTGAACAGATTTGTAAGCCTTATGGACAATCCTATTGATAATACTCAGTGTCAAGATGATGACCAAACAATGGAAAGTGAACAGGATCGCCAACATTTTGATAAAGAATTTATGAAAGCCTATATTGAAGATGTTAAAGAACGAGGTAGGTAACTTATACTTAAAAATATTTCCATGGCTTGGAGGCCAGCTGCACATGCTGAGGGAGAAGGCAGCTCAGATAGAGAGGGGAGCACCAAGTAAAGGGTGTTGGGGGGACCCTCCCAGAATGAGAGATGCATGCTGAAAATAGTCTATAGACTGAACATGATAGCCACTCAATGCATCTTTTGCAAACCACAGCACCCAAAACAAAAGGGAATGCCATGCCACAGGGGTGGGGTGGAATGGGGGGTGGGGGGGTTGGAGGAATGCTGGGAACATTGGAGGTGGGGAATGGGCACCAGTGGAGGAATGGGTACTCAATCATTGTATGGCTGAAACCCAAGTGCAAAGATTTGTGAGTCTACAACTGTACCTCATGGTGTTTCACTAATAAAAAATAAAATAAAATAAAATAAAATAAAAGAATGAGACAGTTGACCATAAAAATATTTAAAATGCACACAGAATTCCATTCACTCACACAATACACTTATTGATATAAGTCAAGATGACTATAACCCATTATGTAGGAACAGGCTACTTTGTAAATGATTTTTCTTGTTACAAAAAAAAGAAAAGAAAGGTGAAAGAAAGAAAGAAGTAAAAGAAAGTATTTTTCTAGTGTACTCTGATATATCTTAATATATCATTAAATATTTGACAGAGACTGGGAAATGCACACTGAAAATTGAAGGAATTGTATTTGAAACCTCACATACTAATTGTATGTGAGGTTTCAAATGAAGTGATGATAGTATCATTTACTTTAAATGATTGAAAAATAAGATTCTGTTAAAAAAATGGAGTAGGGGCTGTAGAGATAGGACAGTGAGTAGGCGCTTGCCTTGCATGTGACCAACCCTGGTTCAATCCCTGTCCCCTGAGCACCTCCAGGAATGAATCCTGAGTGTAGAGCCAGGAGTTACCACTGAGTAATCCCTAAGTGTGGTCCAAAAACAAACAAACAAACAAACAAACAAAAACAAGAAAAAGTGGATAAAATATTTAAACTCAGATTTTGGAAAAAATCTTCTCACATAAACTGAGGAGCCCCTGTGCCATCTATGCTCAGTGCAGATGCATTCTGAGAAATGCACTCTTAGGCAAGTCCATCCTGATATCTAAAGGGTGATCACATAGAGCCAGATGGTCTCTCCTTCTACACACTTGGGCAAGATGGCAAATCCTGTTGGGAATAGTGACACACCTGCAGTCTGTTTCACTTTTTCTCAGTGACACATCACTGCATAAAAACCACAAAAGAATAAACACAAGATTAGTAAATCCGCTCAGTCTTGACTTTCTATAGGTGATTGATAGCACAGAGGTACCTGGTGATCCCTGTACCCCAGGAAACAGAAAAGTGCTTTCCCTAGTGGCTATTTCTAGATTGTTGTGGAAGGCTTCCAGCTTCTTCCTCCAGTCACAGCAATCTTTGTTCTTCAAAATACCACTTTGTTCTTCAAAATACCACTTTCTTTTTGAGGCTCTAAGAGCCAGCCCTTCAATTTGCACTCTCCTTGCCCCTCCACCTGTAAGTTAAGTGGTACAGACTTCAGACAGAATGCCAGACCTGTGGTTTTAAGGAAGAGGTTGATTGACTTTTGGGATAAGCAGGTGTGGGCAGGTGCTTTTATTAGTCCTCGGAAAGTTGAAATGTGAGAACTCTCCCTCAATAGTAGATTATGCACTATAGCACTGTCCTCCTGTTGTTCATCGATTTGCTCAAGCGGGCACCAATAACGTCTCCATTGTGAGACTTGTTGTTACTGTTTTTGGTATATCAAATACGCCGCAGGAGGTTTGCCAGGCTCTCAGTAGCTTGACAGGCTCTCCGAGAGGGATGGAGGAATCGAACCCGGGTCAGCCGCATGCAAGGCAAATGCCCTACCTGCTGTACTATTGCTCCAGCCCAATAGTAGATTATAAAGACAATAAATGCATCGAGCTATTCATGTTTGAAATTCATTTAAAAATGCTCTTTAGCTCTTGCCTTGCATGTAGCCAACCCTGGTTTGATACCCAGCACAGCATATGCTCCCCTGAGCACCTCCAGGGGATCACTCCTGAGAGACAGAGCCAGGAGTAGCCTCCGAATACTGCTAAGCATGACCCAAGTAGACCCCTGCCCTGAAAAAAATGTCATTTTATTTAGCAAGTTAAATTTTTTAACTGAATTAAGAATATTTTAGGGATGGAGAGATAGTACACCAGGTAGGGTGCTTGCCTTGCATGCAGCCAACCCAGTTTTGATTCCTGGTATCCCATATGTTCCCCTGAGCATTGCCAGGAGTGATCCCTGAGCATCGCCAGATGTGGCCCTAAACAACCCCTATCCAAAAAAATTACACTTAAAACAATTATAGGTATTCCTATATAGTTATTTCTAATTTGTTTGACTATCCCTAATCTCGAATGCTTAACTATTATGAAATACACCAGACTTTTATTAAACATAAATAGAAAGAACTGAACCAAAATCTTGAGGCTTTGTAACTTTTCTTCAAAATGTAGTTTTGTCTCTTATTTTCTTATATTTTTGTGATATTATGTAAAAATTGCAAAGAATTAGAGAAAATGAGTATTAAGCTTTAGATCAATGTGGTCAACAATAAATTTATTTTGTTTTTTAAAACTTACTTAGTGATTGTAGATTTTGGGTTATGTAATTATTTATAAATAGTTGTACTAATTTTATCCTTCATATATTCATACCATATGAAAACAAATACTCTTGCTAATTTTTAGCTGGTTTTGACCTATGGAAATGGCCACTTTTTAAAAAAATTTTGCTTTTTGGGTCACACCTGGCGATATTCAGGGGTTACTCCTGGCTTTGTACTCAGGAATTACTCCTGGCGGTGCTCAGGGGACCATATGGGATGCTGGGAATCAAATCCAGGTTGGCCGCATGCAAGGCAAACACCCTATCCACTGTGCTATTGCTCCAGCCCCCTCTTTTTTTTCGAATTGAATCACCATGAGATACAGTTACAGACTTATAAACTTTCATGATTACGTTTCAGTCATCAAATGATTGAGTACCCATCCCTCCATCAGTGCTCATTCTCTACCACCAATGTTCCTAGTATCCTTCCCGCCACCCCTCCCCCTCCCACCCCCTGCCTCTGTGGCAGGCACATTCCCTCTTGCTCTCTCTCCCCTTTTGAGTTTTATGGTTTTAGATACAGGTTACTGAGAGGCCGTCATGTTTGGTACATAGTCTACTTTCAGCTTACATCTCCCATTCCGAGCGATTCCTCCAACCATCATTTACTTAGTGGTTCCATCTCTATCCTAGCTACCCTTCCCCCCAGCATGTGAGGCCGGTTTCCAAGCTGTGATGTGATTCTCTTGACCCTTATCTACACTGTCCTAAGGTGTTAGTCTCCTATTATGTTACTTTGTATTCCACAAATGAGTGCAGTCATTCTTTGTCTGTCCTTCTCTTTCTGACTATTTTCACTTAGCATGATACTCTCCATGTCCATCCACTTTTATGCAAACTTCATGATTTCATCTTTGCTAACAGCTGCATGGTATTCCATTGTGTAGATATACCAAAGTTTCTTTAACCAGTTGTCTGTTCTTGGGCACTTCGGGTTTTTCCCCCCCAGATTCTGGCTATTGTAAACAGTGCTGCAATAAATACACAAGTGCAGATGCCATTTCTACTGTATTTTTTTTTCAGCTCTGGGATATATTCCCAGAAGTGATACTTCTGGGTCATATAGGAGCTCAGTTTCTAGTTTTTGGAGGAATGTTCATATTGTTTTCCAAAAAGGCTGAACCAGTTGGCATTCCCACCAACAATGAATGAGAGTCCCTTTCTCCCCGCATCCACATGGACATTTCTTATATGTCAACTGCTATGTGGTCAGGCAGGTGCTGTGGATTTGAGTTTGCTTTTGTTTATAATTCTGTCTTCTTCCTTTTCTTCTGCATCAGACTAATGTCTAAGTTAATCACAGAGTCCACAGCTACAGGAAAGAGAAGTAGATAGAGTCAATCTACCAGGAATCCCAACTTGTGTGAGTCAAAACATTGAGGAAGTGAAGTACCTTGTGTGTGCTAAAATTTTAGTTAACCTAAGACTCACTAGCATGTTCTGCCCTCAGAGTTTTCTGGTTCATCAGGTCTGGGTCCTTGGGCTATGTATTTATAACAAAAGTTCCCAGGTAGGGTGTTGAGATTTTGAGTTTGAGCATTTCACCTTGAGAACCACTGGTCTAGACTCACACCTACCCCGTCCTATGGTTGATACCTTGTCCAGTGCTGTGGCCTCCCATGGCATCCCATGTGCTTTATACCTGTGGCCCCCTCTCATCTGGGTGATCCTGGGGATTCACAGGAGTCATATGACTTCTGGCTGAGAAATGTAAGTCTAGACCAAGGATTTTCAAGTTTTTTATTTAGACCAGTGAAAACAGGAGAAATAGTTCATTGACTACTAAGGCAGAAATAAAAACATTATTTATAGTAGTTTTTTGCATATTCACTTTTAAATCTACTATTATAAAGTGAATTTTTTTCAGGCATACCGTATCTTAAGCAACAATAATTTTTTGAGGACCAGCAGAAATTTGTATGGACTGGTATCAGTCTGTGAATAGTTGGTTGAAAACCACTGGTAATCATTTTTTTTTTTTGCTTTTTGAGTCACACCTGGTGATGCACAGAGGTTATTCCTGGCTCTTCACTCAGGAATTACTCCTGGCGGTGCTCGAGTGACCATATGGGATGCTGGGAATCAAACCCCGATCAGCTGCGTGCAAGGCAAACACCCTACCCGCTGTGCTATTGCTCCAGCCCCTATAAATTATTTTTTGACAGAATTTGTCTCCAAAGGGGGTGCGAATGGGAAATAACTAGTGGGACAAGTAAGGTTGAGAAAAGATTTACTTATGAACATTATTCTGGGTTTAGGAATAGTCCAAACATCTCTTATAAACTATTTTCCTTCTATCTGCTGACCAAAGTCCCAAGTTTTTGGCCATTTACTTCTACTTTGTCAAGTTTTATTACTATAGTCAGAGATGTTCTGAGACCTTTTTTAAAAATTGTTGGACCACATATGGCAGTGCTCAGAGCTTCGTCCTGACTCTGTTGTCAGGAATCACTCTCTTAGCAGTACTCAGAGGACCATCTATGCTGCTGGGAATCAAACCAGGAGTCAGTCAATGTGCCAAGCAAGGTTCTTAACCCCTGTACTATCTCTCTAGCCCTAAGATTCTGATGTAGCTAGGTGAGTTCGGTGAAAAAAGAGCAAGAATCCAGATTCTTGCTATTGTAGAGTGCTGCAATGAACAAACAAGTGCAGATGTCACTTCGACTATACTTTTTTCTTCTCTGGGATATATTCCTAGGAGTGGTATTGCTGGGTCAAATGGGAGCTCAATTTCTAATTTTTTGAGAATCGTCCATACTGGACGCCAGCCACACATGCTAGGAGAAAAGGCAGCTCAGATAGATAAGGGAGCACCAAATAAAGGTGGGAAGGATCCTCCCAGGATGGGAGAAGCATGCTGAAAGTAGACTATAGACCAAACATGATTGTCACTCAATGCCTCTTTTGCAAACCACAACACCCAAAAGGAGAGAGAGAACAGAAGGGAATGCTCTGCCACAGAGGCAGGGTGGGATGGGGGGAATAGGGGGTGGGAGGGATACTGGGATCCTTGGTGGTGAGAAATGGGCACTGGTGGAGGGATGGGTATTTGATCATTGTATAATTGAAATCCAAGCACAAAATTTGTAAGTCTACAACTGTACCTCATGGTGTCTCGCTAATAAAAATTTTAAAAAAATTTTAAAAAAGAGCAAGAATCAATAATTTTACCTAATTCTACCTTAGAATTAGGTAATTTAAAACTTGACTACACATTTGTGATGGCTTAGTGGTGATAAATGTATTTATTTATATCCTTAAAATATAAAGTGGCAATAATTTGTGTTGACCTACACAACATTGGTATACTTTGTAATAAAATAGAAGGATTGACTATTCTTTTTCCTTTTGTTACAGAATCTGTTCCCAGCTATACTACCAAGGTGTCTTTTAGCCTCCAACTTTGATATCCTCCCATCAGAAATTTGCACCACCTCCTTATCCTGCAGATTTATAAAATTTGGATTGTGGGCCATGACCTATCGAAACAATGACTTGTGTTTAAAGACAAAATCTATAAACTACAATCATAATGTTTTAAAAAACAATCATCAAAATTTAAATATGAACAACTTGCTGAGGGAAGATTGGAGGATTGATAAATTAGTTTATATATTGATACATAAGCATTCATTTGCATCCATTGTTTCCAAATAATGCACATTTAATATTTTAGAAAGTACATTATTTAAAAAAATTAAAACCTAATGACCAAATTATGAAGCTGATTGCTTTATTTTCAGGAATCAAAGGGCAAAAGGGCTGTGAGAAGAGTATTCATACTGGACTAGTGTGAAGAAAACTTATTTAATTTTCTCATTTTTGAAATAATTTATTATTTTTGAATAATTTAATTATTCTTCTTGAGAATAATTTCCCTGGGGTTTTATACAAACTTCTTTCCCATATGTTTCATGTATATTTTACAAATATAGACTGACAAGAGAGACTTCAAGTAGAACCTGTGGGGGATTCACAGGGCTGGACTGTTTGTTCACGCACTGGAGATGGGATGCTCAGAGAGTATGCTTGCAGCCCTCAGGTAGGAAGTGTGGGCCCAGCTTGTCATGGGACGTTTTGCATGGCCTGCACAAAAGGCCAGCCTACTCTTAGAGCCCTTTCCTGGGACTCAGAGCTCTGCTCTGCAAAGAGCAGATGTGATGCCCTCAGAGCTCTTCTCTTCTTAAAGTAGACCCTATCAGATAGCACTGATGAGGAGTGCCCAACAAGGCCTCCTGCTGGTTTCCATAGACCTCTGCCCATGGCCAAAACACTGTGGTCCAGAGGGAGCACGTGAGGCTGTTTTATGTTTGCAAGGAATGGATTCATTATAGGGTTTTCTACTCTTTTATCACATAATAGGATTTGGAGAAAATGTATAAATTTCTATTTTTTCTAGCATTGTCTTGGACAAAAATTAACAGATCATGATTGTTTTGAAAATAAACCTAAACAGGTAATGCTTGTAATGGGAATGTATATATTTATCTATACATTTATGCATGTATTGATTTTTTTTGTGGGGGGGAGTCACACCCACTGGTTTTCAGGGATTATTCCTGGCTCTGTGCTTAGGAAACACTCCTGGTAGGTACTGGGAATTGAATCCAGGTTGGACCTCTGCAAACATCCTACCTGTTGTAGTATCTCCCTGTCCCCAAGTATGTATTGATTTTTAAGTGGATTCACCCAGTTATATCTAATAGGACTTTATGCAGTGATGAAAATGTTCTCTGCCTGGGCTATTTAGGGTAATCACTAGATACCTGTGTTTCTTGAACTTTGAACCATGACTGGTGTGACTGAAACACTGGGGTTTTCATTAATTTAAATTAAAACAGGTGGCTACTACATTGAACATTATGAGTCTAGCTAACTGGATTTTGGAGAGGCTAATCTGGGCTATTAATGGAAGGTAAAGAATTAGGTAAAGAATTGTAAATCTTTAGAGGCAATATTTGCAAAAGTTTACAGTTGATGCCTCAATATTTTGTCTTAATAAACAAATAGACTTCCAAATACTTTAGTAGATGTAAAACAGGCAGAAGGTTCTACAACACATAGCAATGCTTTGGTTTAGGATTGCCTCAATGTAAAAAAAATCTCTGAGAAGAGTGTTAGGAGATAAAAAGAGGTCTGGGAGATAGCTCAAAGGCCTGGATTGCATATGCAGAAGACTGGGCTCGTCCCAACTACCAAGTACCACTGTGACTCCCTGAGGATCACCATGACTCCCTGAGTATCAGTGGGAGTACTGAACCAACAGTAGCTCCCAAGTGCTGTTGGGTGTGGCCCCCAAAACAAAAAAATAAAATAATTAAATTCAAAAAATTACAATTTTCCATTAAACTTTTAAAAATGTAATTTAAATATAATATTTATATTACTTGAATAACTTTTGGAAATTTATTTTGTGCCAAAGTTTGTTACTTACAGTCAAATAGAAACATATATTTGAAAAGGGATGTATGGGGAATTTTACACAATTCAACTGTCTATGACATAAAGTTTATTTTAATAAAGCAAGTTCTTTGTTCAAGTACCTTATCTTGGCATTACATTTAGATGAAAATTAGCATTTGTATTTAATTATTTCAAATAGCATAGCAAAAACCCAAATATTTGATTCAATTACAATATTTATTCCTATGAATGTAGAAATGTAGAAATACTTTAAAGGATAATAAGCATTTTAATGGAAATATAGAGATATTAAAATGTTACATAATGCATAGACTGACCCATAATTTGAATAGCACATTAATGCAATATGAATAAAATACTAAAATATAATTATTAAAAATTATTGTTTGTATTATTACATAAACTAATTATTAACTAGCAGTTGCATGATTATTATCATGGTAAGCTTATTATACCCATTTCCCTACATTGGAAGTTAAGGGACAACAAGGTGTAGGTGAAATTGCTGAGCAGTGTATTTCAGCTAATAACAAGATCCACACCAGAATTTGTTAATTCTAGATTTCTAGGATCACCCTTGGAAGACTTGCCAAATGCCAATTTGGGTAACTTATGATGAAGACAAACAGTAAGCTCCAGAAATAAGATACTGTCCTTTCCTCCTTCCTATTTCTGTTTGTTTTTGCTTCACTGCAATATGGATACTTCTGGGTGGAAAGGAAACTTAGAGAAGATTCTTACACAGTTCGTAGGGTTAAATGCTTATTTTACAGCTGTATATTGGATTTCTTTATAACATTTAGATCATTAATTCTAAACTTGAAATGATGCCAAATAGCAACATTAACAGAGGGCTCAAGGAGCTGCCCTTATATATCAGACTATACTGAACTTCCCCAGAAGTGGCCAAATGAGATATTCTTGGGCTACTGGTGGAAGGAAGTGGACACTTAGTGGTGCATGTGGTGTTGGAATGACGTATGTATTAAACTATCAACAGTACTGTAAATCACAAAACTTCAATAAAAGAATACCTAATTGTATCATCAGAATAAAAAAAAATAAGATGCTTAAGCAACTTAATTGTGGTCTAATATGCATTGTAGATGAAGCCAATTATAGCTGAGTGTTGGACACCGTTATTGGTGTGAGCAGTGAGCCACAGGGAGGGCTGTGGGTTTTCAGAGGAAGTTGAGGGTCAGAGGTGGAGAGAAGAGGAAAGAGCCATGAAGTGGAGTGGGGGGTGGAGGATTTGCTGTTACCCTGACTGCTGGTGGCCTCATCCCACTTCCCCTCTACCCTCACTGCTCCTCCCAGAGTTCAGTTCCTTCACCAAAGACCCAGCTGTGGCAGCCTGGCTCCACCCAGGGCCTCAAATACATTTATTGATTTATTATTGATTTCCACTACTCCCTTCTGAACTTCTGTATTTGTGGACCCAGCCCCCTCAGTTCACATCTGGCTAGATGAAGATTTGTATAGTGGGATGTAGGGAAGGGAATCTGGACTGAAAGTAGGTAGAAAAAGCGGGGCAGGAAACCTCTGACCAGCTGTGTGACAGACAGGGTCACCTCAGGCTCTGAGGGTAAAATGGTACACTTTATGTGATGGGATGTTAGGCATGCCTTCTGCAGAGAAGGGCCCAGAAGTCGAATCTGGTCACTCCAGCTTGACAAAAACAATTTCCAGGACCGCCTACAGGACATCTTGAATTCACAGAGACCCACCACTCCGGACATGGATATTTATACACAAAAATTTGCATCATTGTCTCTCATTTGGTCGGGGAAGGGCTCTGTCATGACCTTTCTGGCGGGCCCTACTTGTGGCATGCACACACACACACACACACACACACACACACACACACACACATCAGCTCTTCAACACAGAGGATACTCTCTCCTTCTGTTAGGCCTGCTTATAGATTGTCCAACCCCCCGAGCCCCCCTCACTCATAAACTTCCAATCCCGAGGCTGTACTCAGACATCATTAACAAAACACAGTATCACATTCTCATGTGATTTAGCGTGGACCCTAACCCACTGAGAAAGGTGGAGGGAGGCCTGTGACATGGAGGCACAGAAGCACGCCACGTGAGGAACCTGGAGGAAAGTCACCCCAAGTCAAGGGGCTCCAGGCCCATCTTTATGCTGAACAAAAGAATTCCAGTTGCCAGAGAACAACATACATATCACCATACTCCTTATACAAAGGATCAAACCACACCACCATAATCAGGACCAGGCTAGGAGCCCCTCTCTGTACAGAAACGTAAGTAAACTCATGCACATAGAGACATGTGCACAGACACACACAAATGTGAATAAATTCACACACACACACACGCCATTAAGAAGAGGCATCGTTGTGTTCATACCTCTCCATGACTTAAGCTGAAGCAGAATTTGATGGCTCAACTTTCTGCACTCCTGTGTGTTTAACTATCTTATGGTACGAGGAGTACACAGATACTGGAATGTTCAATTAAGGGGGCAAGAAAGCCTCCTCACTGAGAGAGTGATTTGACTGTGAAAAAAGAAGCAGGTATTTCAGAAGACTCATGTGGACTGTGTGAAGGGAAACACACACACTGGCAAACACTGAGACACACAGAGACACATATAACTCTCTTACACACACAAATACACACAGAGACATATACACACTCAAAGACACACAGAGCGACATACTTTTGCACACATATGTACACAGAGACGCGCACACACTCTCACACACATTGACACACAAGGCACACACACTCTCTCACACACATATATACAATCTCACACACAGACACACACTTTCACACACAGAGACACACACACAGACACACATACAGACATTCACAGAGACACATACAATCTCACACATATACACACACAGAAACATGCAGACAGACATGCATAGAAGCACATACAGACAGACACATACTCACACACATACATAGACAGAGACATGCACACAGACATAACAGACACATGCAGACAGATGCACATCCATACACAGATACACACATATACACACAGAAATATAAACACACACACACACACAGCTCTCAGAACCAGAGATGGGGAACTTGGTCAGAGCCTGAGAGATGATCCACAGCCACACCCACTTCAGTGGGCTTCTCAGACCTCACGATGGCTCATCTTGGTTTAGTATTTGGTGCATAGTAAGTATATATGTTGGGATCCTGATGCTAGAACTCCAGAAACAGGCCACATGTTCCTTCTGTCCTATCAGGATTAATAAACTTGTTTGTGAGCTCACCAATGAACATTTGCTTCATTAATTACAGCCGACGTTTCTTCATTCCTGGTCATGACCATTTGATGGTGCTGCTGACAAGGATATTTCAGGACTCCAGAGAGAGAGCTCATTGGGTTGAGCCTGCATGTTTTATATACAGGGAGTCCTGAGCACTAAGCCAGAAGAAGCTCCTGAGCTTGGCCAGGTGTGGACCAAAGCCCCAAAAGGGAAACCCAGTCACTCCAGCAACACTTCTGCAGGGACTCCTGGTTCTTGCTCAGGTGGTGAGAGCGAGCTGCCCCGCCCTGCCTCTAGCCACTGGCTCTGTGTCTGATGAGGGGAAGGCACCCTCCTCATCCCAATGCTGAGCTGAGAGCACAGAGCCCCTGGTGACCTCAGGTGAGAGGAAGCTCATTCCTGACTCAGTGTCCTATGCCTGAGTTCCTCACAGGCCCTGCCACCTGCTGTGGTTGGCCTGTCTCTGAGACCAGTCTGCCTGGAGAGATGCCTGCCCTCAACCAGGGACAGCAGAAACACTTTAATAGCACTCAGGAAAGCCTAGGAGAGTGACCCAGGAGCCATCTCTGGTCAGTGAGTCACCTCCTGCCTGCCAGGTGCCAAGGGAGCATGTGATCCTGGGACTTGGGACTGGGAGGCTAGTGAACCTGGCACCCAGGCAAGGTGAGACCAGCATCCAAGTCTGTTTCTTCTCCTGCTGGCCACAGTCCCGAGGTGCTGTGACTAGGCTGCTTAATTACATTGGGACACATTTCTCTGAGGCCCAGGCTGACTGTCTTTCCCAATGGGAGTGCTTCTGGGGCAGTGCAAAAGTCCAGAAAATACTATTGACTAGGCTCAAAGAATAACTTTTGGGGCCAGAGAGAGAGGACACAGGCTAAGACACTTGCCTTGCATGTGGCTGACCTGTTTGATCCTTGGCACCATATATGATCCCCCGAGTACTGCCAGAAGTGATTCCAGAGCACAGAGCCAGGGGTAAGCCATGAACACTGCTGGGTACAGCCTCCAGACAAACAAATGAAAAAAGAAAGAAAAGAAAAGAAGAAGAAAAGGGGAAAAATAACTTTAAAAATAACTATAAGGTGCAAGGGAATGCAATTTGGCACTCAAGGACCAAGGAAGAGAGATAGAAGAAGGACATCCTTGGGAGGGATTTGTATCTCATTGGGAAGCTGGGGTCAGTGCACAGGATAGCAGAGACATTTTCTAAGGATGGAGTGGGGGAGGACAAAGGCACCTTCTGCATATCTGTGCCATGTGGGGGCTGCACCTGAAATTCCAGCTCAGTATATGGGTCTTGGGGCCACGAGAGACTGCATGGGCTTGTGGGGAGCTTTGGAGAGAGAGTCTCATTCCAGTCATACACAATGGTTATGACCCACCCATGAGTTAAGTGGGACTCTGGGCTCAGTGCTGAGGTGACCACAGAAAAATTACCAGCACGTCCATGCTTCAAAGTGGCAGGCCAGAACTATCCTCACATCCAGCCTGTCCTGCACAGGCTACCAGGAGGACTAGCAGGCGGGGCCCTTCCTGATGTGATGGTCTTCTAGCGCCCTCTGCTGAGCATGCTCAACATGCCACTCCCTCTGATGGAACCTTCCTGATCAGTGACGGAGGCAAGTCACCCATAAAGGACACACACTTAACACAAATGCATGACAGTAGCACAATGGAGACACATGGGAAATAAAAATGACTTTGGAAAACCATGTTTTACCTGAATAATGTAAAGCTAAAGGTGAAAGAAACTGTGACTGTCATATTTGAATTGGTAAATTTGTTTCTGCATAGAGGTATAATCTATTTTTTTGGGGGAAGGGGGTGCTCCCAAGCAGTACTCA